CACACACTCTCACACACACATACAGTCTTGAAAGTAAGAGGCCACTGACCTGCAAAATTAGAAGTTAAAATTCCTAATATGGAATCCTGTAATTGTCCCTTTAATAATAATGATAATAATAATAATTTCACTTCTTTCCAACTCAGTTCTGAGGCAATATTTATTAAATTGTATATTACTATCATTATTGTTGTTGTTATTGTTATCACAGCACCATACTGTCTGGTTTCTGGGTGTCTTCTATAAGAAAAAATCTCCTTTGAAACTGGAAGCAGCTGCATTATGTTACTCTCATTTTTTACACGTTTGCATTATTAACAATAATTTGAATCTGAAACGTCACTGTAAACTTTGAAGTCTAACAGGAAGCACTTTTACACGAAAGCCTCTACAGTAGCATCTGATAACAGCTCACATTGTTGTGATTAATCTAAATAACAGGGTTGTGACATTATCATACAAATGTAATCTACGGAATGGGAGCTACATAAATCGTATTGCTGCCATCCTAGTAGTCAGTTTGAGGTTTTTCTTTTTTATCCCCCCTTTTTTATTTTACCCATGATGCCACTAGGAGGCAGTAAAGGCCTCTTTTCAGGCTTTCTCTGTCTCTCTCATCATTCTCTTGTCCCCAGTCTTCAATCTTTCACTGTCACATACACACAGATTTGTAATGCTAGTTCACAGAGTAAACATGTCATTATTATCAGAGTGACACAATGAAAACTCATTTTAAATAATGGAGCCATTTCCTCATGCTCCTGAGCAAATGGGACAGTGATATATTGTAATAGTATATATAAGACATGTTTTTATAATAAAGTATAATAAATCAATATTTAACATACTGTATGCATCTGTGCATTAGTATATATGAAATATAACTATTTTATTCATACATAAAACAATAAATGGAAAATAGATGTAAACATTGCAAAATAAATAAATGCTACGAAAAATGTATAGTTTATAAAAAATGGTAAATTAATTGCAATATTAATTACATATGACGCACAATTGTAAGAAAATGCTATTTAAAATTGCATTGTAGCAAAAAAAAAAATTGAGTTTTTTAACTAAAAATGTGTCAGGATTTACAGGCTTAATAAAATGATGATTTAAAAATGTATAATTAGTTCATGAATTACTGCAATAATTATTTTGGGTAATGAGCTCCTAATAAAGACCTTAACATGTTCATTGTTCATATTTGATGATTTTAACTTATAACAAGTATAACAGAGAAACATACAGTATATATTTTTTAAAGTAAATAAAAATCGCAACTGCTCAGAAAGCTATTTCACCTGTTTCACATGAAAGGACATGCTCTAAGGAGAAAGTTGATATAGATTAGGATAAATTAGGTTTTTTCTACTTATTTTCTAAATAAAAATATATATAAACACTATAAGAATATAATTTTTCAAATACCCAACAGCATCCCTCCAACCCTCGGTGTCCTACCCCAAAAAACAAACAAACATATCACACAAAAGAAAGAGGACAGCTCTCTAACTTTCTAATTCTATGAAAGGTAACCAAGTCATCTTAAAGCTTTGTATGGTGTATCTACATTTTCATTGTCATAGCAGTGTATCCACAGCTGTTACTAATAAAATGAATGATAGCTCTGTATATTTGTGTGTATGTGTATACATCTATGTGTATATTTAGAAATGGACCTAGTCTCTGTGATGTCACTGGAGGCTCCTGAAGAGCTGTTGTGAAGCTCAGTGTGGTCGGTCCTGACTCTGTGTCAGGGCAAAGATGATCTTACTGAAAGCCTGTGGCTGCACCCACCTGTCACTCAATGCGGCCATGCCCTTAATCATATAATATAACAGGAAAGCCTTAATATAATTTGAATGGGTGAGTTATATAAAAATTCCACTGGATAAATTATTTAAAGAGACCAAAAGTGTTTGTGACTGCTGGAGCCAGTCTCTAGTGGCCATTAGAGGAACTGCAGTTTTTATTACTTCCGTGGTGGCTTCATACAAGCCACGGAGGTTGCTGCTTGGTCACAGTAAGTCATGACACTGTGACAGTGATCCAAATGCACAATACAGGGCCCTGAATGGAACTGATGGGATTCAGCAATCATTAATTCTATCATTAATGAGATCATTGTCATATCATAATTATTTTATCATTAATTTTTATCATTAATGATATCATTCATCATGATACAATTAATGACGTCATTTTCCCACGGTGACAAAATGTCTTCTGTGATAGAGTTTCAGTCCACGGAAGGAGTGAGACGTATTCTGTGGCATTTGCCTAATCTTTAAAATGTTTTCATGAGTGTGAACAGACCAATGTCACTCCCAAGCTGTACATATATTTTATTCATGTACTTAAGTAACGTCAGGTATCTAATGTAATTTACCTTCCTAATTCTAACCAATCAAGTCTAGTGCCTAATCCTAACCATACTGCGACTGTTTCATAATGTTAACAATGCAAGCTTTATTTTGATAGTCTGACCAGACATTGCATATTGATTGTTTGTGTAAAGTCTCAAAAAATCTACATGAGGTTGCAGGCCTGGTAAATGTTGGCAAGCCTTTGTGCTCTAAAGTTTTCTTTCCTCCACACTTAAAGTTCCATCACCTTAGGATTGAGACGTCCTCACATGACCTATGGGCTGCAGCCGAGGCGCATAATGGCCAAAGCAATTTGTGATTTGTGAAGGAGTATCTTAACTCAACTCTTTGAAAGTAGAAGCCGGAATATGAGTGAGACGGGACCTGTGGAGGACTCATTCAGGAGCCTGGGGGGCGGTGTTCACAGCAGCCACTGTGGCCTTACTGCAGCCAGCCTCAGCATGACGGCAGGTCAGACACACAAAGGCGGGGATGATTTTCCCTGTCAGGGTCTGGCACAACTGAATACTGTAGTAGAAGCATGTTTCACAGTTCTCCGTCTATTATCTTTTTTTAACTACGCTGTAACATATTTGTGAGTTTATTCCCACTGAGGCCTGTAAATATATCATACTAATTATATCAATGATGCTAATGATGATAAAGAATGATGCACGTAATGATGAAAGTGACATTCAGCTTTGTGTTTGTTTATTTTTTTTATTGAGAATGATGGCCGCCTCAGATTTCAGTAGTGATTGATGGGAAGGAGTGTTGAAGGGGAAAAGCCTGCAGGTTTTTCACATGAGACCGGGTGGGTATATATTGTCAGAGCACTGCTCCACAGCACATTTGTCAAGTCAATCACAGGCCACTGAGGACCGCTGTACCTGGAGCATGTGCGTGTGAAAGAGAAAGATGCAGTAGAGGTAAGAGGATAAACAGCTTTTGAAGCTGATATTAATCTTCAGTTTTGATAATATATAAATAAAAAACCTAAGTCCTGTTAAAGCCTTTTTAAACACTACATTTCAAAGCAGAATTAAGTCATTTCAATGGAATCACTGTGGTTAGTGGATCTAGTCAGGAGGCGAAGCAATTCCACAAATACTTTATGTTAATTTCAACTTTGGCGAACTCTGAAAATTAGTTCTTACTGTTCATGGCAACAGCATACAGTCATGACAATGTTGACCTTTATGAAATTGAAAAAGTGAACATCGGATGCCCCCCTGTGTTCCCCAACTCATTTTATTACATGTTAATTGAATGCAAATGTATTCAAGATTATTTACTTTGCAAGCATAACATCAACTGTAATATTAAAGGTTTAAGAACTAGATTTTGACACAGCAACACTCCATAGGACAGGGGCTCAGATTCAGATACATTCACAGAAAGCACCATAGCCTTTTTTAATTTCAGTTTATAATCTGTTTAACTCCTTGACACAGTAACGCTTCCACTGGCCATGGTTCTAGCATGTTGTGTGGTTTTGTTCCATCCTCAGCACAGCTTCATACTCTACTAAGAGTGTTTAAGAGTGTTTTGCCCGCCCAATTTGTTGACTTGCTCAGGTCTTGTTAATTTGGTAATTTTTCTTTTTTTTTACGGGCTTCTGCCTCGAGTAAGTAGGTTAGGTTTTGTAATTTAATTGTTTCTTTTTTGTGTCTGTTTTGATGTGATATACAATCTTGAGTCTGCACAGGGTGTTTTATTTTGAAAAATGATCAGATGCTCTATGCTGCTCCTGTGTTTAATTTTTACTGCTCAGCTCAATCTTCAGGCCTGCCCTTACTTCTTAGCACTGGACTTACCAAGGACTTCAGGCTGGATGCTGCAACTTTTGCATAGTTTTATCAACTATGGAGAAAAAGACCTGTAAAGTCCAAGAATGTTCCATGGTCCTGTTGTCTCACCTGAGAATGACACCGGCATGGTCAGGGAGTTTGCAAATGAAGAAGAGATGCCACAAAACCTGCTATGGTTTAGCAAGCTGGTTGGCGTCCAGCTGCAACATTCTTTTCTCACAGATGCTGTCTACTTAGTTGTCCCACTGTTTTACTATCAGCAGCCTTAAAGTCATCAAGAGACCTGAACCTGAGGTCTATTGCGTCTTGAGTTAAACTCTTCAGGGCTCTTGAATCTCAAGGCATGCTGACTGTTCCTCTGTCAGTGGAAGTAATGGGTCCCAGTCCACTCAGCACATGGCCAGACCCTGGTAGTCTACAGTAAATGTCAACATGTTGTGGTTGGTCTTGCTAGGATACAGTGGTAAAGGCAGTAGCCAGCTCTGTAGATACAAACCACAGGGAACATATGAATGCTCCCTGTGAATGCAAGAAGCAAGAAATATGTGTGCTGGCAGCACATCAGTCGACCTGTGTAGGTAGAATGCTTGGTATTTAACTGTCCCTGTTTGGTCTTGGCATGCCGCCCAGAATGCAAGCGTGGATTTAGATGGATTAAATAAGTG